GACCTGGGGCAGAAATTTATGTGTATTTTTCCAGGGATGGGCTTTTTGCTGCCCTGGGATGACATCTTCCAAGACTGCTCTGGGCTTTTGTGATTTCAGTAAAGCAAGATTTAACCTTCAATACTCTCCCACGCCAGGGTTTTGAGACTGACAGTTGCTCAAGTAGTTACTCACAAGAAGTGTGGATGGGAAGAAAGTCCCAAAAAGCAGGAAGAATGCTTGAGGACATACTGTTAGTGTTGCCAAAAGGCTTTATAAGGCTTAGCTGGAAAACTAATTCGTCTTTGGAGGTTTTACTGGGGGGGATCTGAGCTGTGCTTCTGAAAATGGGCACTTGTAGTTCTGCTGCCAAGACCTTTCTAGCACAGCACAGTCTCTTGAAGTTGAATTGCAACAAATCCTACTCCTTGAAGTATACAATACTGTGGGTCATAGAAGGGTTGTGTGATGGCCACCATCAGTCATCTGAGACCTGCAGCAAGTCATGTTGTCCTTCCCCAGCTTGTGTCGGGGCAGGCGAGTATGTGGGTTTTGAGTCTAAAGGACGTTGGGATCTTTGAACTGTTCAAACAGTGAATGGAAAACTGGAAATATCTCTGTACAGGGATGCTGTTCCCTGCTGCCTTTGTGCTGTTCTCCCTGACATGCTGTGTCTGGAAAAGGCTGGCAACTTCAAACTAGAGAAGTGCCTTTCACACTGGGGTTTTAATGTAAGTTATGGACCAGAAGGCAGAAGCTGGATCCTGAACCATCTAAGGCAGAGCTCTCCTCAGAGTGCTGCTGGTACTAAGTACTTCTTTGCTAACAAAACAGGCATCAAGAAGGGGCCAATCTCTTAGTGTAATGGGACATTTATGACCTGGGGGGTTGAGAAGTGCAATGATTTTTTTTTCTCTCAGTGTTTTTTCATTATTGTTTTCTACATGCTTTTTGTTTAAGACCCATCTTTTAAAAAAAAAAAAAAAAGTAAAGAAATGAAGCATTCTGCTAATACCATGTGGCTGACCACACAGATCTTGTGCAATCCCCAAATGCTCTTCTTCCCCCATAACGTGTCCTGTGCCCCCAGGCAGCAATCCATCTCACTCCCAAAGGTGTTCTGATGTTGACTCATATGGGTGAGTTTCACGCCTGGGGCTGAGGCTATCCCCTGAGAGGGGCCTGGGAGGGACCTGCATGTCCCTTCTTCTGAGTCCTTATTTCAGGTTCCCACCTGCTTTTGTGCCCCTGTTCTCAAGGCTGGGGCAGAAGGGCCTTTGATGGGCTGATGGCTCCTGGTATGGGCCTGGGAGCCTTTGGGGAAGGGTGTTATTTGGGGTCCCCCTTCTACTATTGTCTCTCTGTGTTCCTTTGTGGGTGTGTAGATGAGCTTTTATTATATAACCTAACAAGTGCAGTGAGAATACATTGCATCTGTAGGTGGATTTGGCAAAAAAATATTTCCTGAAGGTGTTAAGAATTGTTTTTTATTGGTCCTTGTCTGTTAATTGCCAAATTGGCAAGGGACCAGGGACATTCTTCAGATTGTGAGTTTACAATACAAAAAGATCTACCCCAGGAAAAAAAAAAAGGGAAAAAAAAAAAAAAACACAAGAAAAAAAACCCCTCTTTCTGTTCCTTCTTTCTAAAATGCAAGAAGACAATGAAAAGAAACAATCATAATGAATTGATCCCAGTATATTTTATAATACGAAATGTAGACAAAAGATTAAGCTCTGGTCTCATTTATGACCATTTAATCACACTGGGCCCACTTGTATGCTCAGGACAGAATTTGGAGGAAGCTGCCCCCTGTTCTGAACCTGCCCCTCTCTGCTCTTGCCTGGGACACGTCATTTCACATTTTCCCTGCATTGCATGTCACTGGGGGTTGGCAGCGTAAATAAGTTATCCTGGGATGTACAGGGGTGCTTACATGGGGACAAGGGTATATGAAGGAAGAGGGAGGAGGTGTGAAGGTAGTAGGAGAAATCCAGACCACAAATAAGACCTTAAGCACCCAGTCACCTAAGGTAGCTTAACCTGCCGCGTTCATGAGCTGAGCTGGGATAGCTGCTTGCACGAACCCCATACTTACACGCTGGTTAACTCTCAGAGGACTGTAGCTGGGAGGAGGGCTGGGCACATAATTTAGATCTCCGTACCTTACATCCCCAGATACTGTTTCTGGGTCTAAGGCCAAGTTAGCCTGTTCACAGATGTACTCATGCCAAGGTCACACTGAGGTATGTTGATAAGTCCGTGGCTGGCATCATGCTACTTACTTGTAATGGCTTAAATTAACTATTGCAAATAACGTCAGGAGGTAAAACATTCCCAACAGCTGGGGCTGGCAGTCCTGCATGGTTTCCCACACCAGCTGTGCTTTGGCATCCTCCCTGCCCTTCCAGCTTCCCAGCACCTTGGTGAATCATATGGAAACCCTTTTGTGAAGATTTATGAATATATGTGAGCAGAGGGAGATGCAGGGATGGTCTAAGATGTTGTGCAAGATTCTGGGAAGAGTGAAAGTACTGATGTCTGGGTTGGCTCTAACATGTTTTTTAAGAAAGGAAAAAAATGGTCCAAGTCCAAGTCACAGTGAATTCAACAAAAGCATTTTCCATTCATTTCAGCCTTCAGCCTCAGGCTCTAAATCACATTTATAGTCCCCAGAGCCTTTCTGTCAGGTTATATATATATATATATATTTTATTTTTTTTTTTTTTCTATCATGAG